AAAATTAATTAATTAAACTCTGTAATTAATCAATTTTCATTCATTAACGGTAGGTCACTCCACTATAAACCTAGAGTTGCACACTTATGTACTATAGGACAAGTTATGTCCATTGATATAATCATTACAAGCAAGTTGATCCTTCACGAGTTGTTCATAATTACGGCTGGACAAAAGTCCGTTTTACCTATGTAATTACATCTTTTCACTTTAAGTACCACTGATTCTCTAATGAACCATTTGTTTATGATTCAATCATAAATCAAGTCCCTCTCGGGCCAATGAGAGGGTGAGGCTCCATTGTTCAAGTCTCGAAATCAATACTTAAGAGAACAACTCATCTACTTTTCTTATATGGAAAAGAGTGAATGTCATGATATTATGTTCCCAACTTCTTATTTGGTCAAGTCCCCAAAATGGTAGGCATATTGAATCTGCTAAGAGTCTTTCTCACCCATGTAAATAAAAGGACAAGCCCTCACAGGCAGGAGTTCATAACTCACTCAGGATTAAGATCGAGTCGCATATGATCAACATGTGAAATATTAATCTTCTCAATTAACGGATTTATAAAGAGTGATTAAATATTTCTTGGTTCAGTCTTATACAAACTCATTGTATAGGATACCCCACTTACATGTCTCCACATGAACGATTTGGATCAAATCATTTGTAAAAATTACAAGGTGGGTCGTATTAATAGTGTTATAGGATAAGACACCCAACCTTATCCATATATTATAGACTTTTTAGGTTATTACTTGAACACGATTCTCTTGTATGTCAACCACATACTGTTCAAGATTACATTAATAACCTTGAATTTTCATATCATGGATAATAATGAAATTACAAATAAAATACTAAAAATTATTGTTAGAAACTAAATCATTAATTACGAGGCTCTAGGGCATAAATCCCAACCGTTTCATCATTTTCCTCTTGGTTTATACCTCAAACATGTTATAATCCCCTAGTGAAACTTCACATAATGTTTGAAACACCTCAATTTTTTAATCACATTAACCCTACTTTTGAATCTTCAAATTTTGTATGAGTTTGAATTCACGGTGATATTTTAGATCTTCTGAGCAAATTACTTAGGTTGTCAATAATTTTATATGAATTATAGAAAAGAATAACCAAATGAATGGATTAAATTAAAAGCAAGAGTATAATTGCTAAGAAAGGAAGATAAAGGAAATAAGAAAAATGAAATGGAGATAGGAAATCTAGAATACTCTTAATTGAATAGAAAATAAAATAAAAAGAAATAGAAAATAAAAAGGGAAGCTAATCAGGTAAGTGATCGTACTATCGACATGGTTATATTTGATGTTGACACGTACCTTATAGTTCTGCACGTGTCATATATATTGATGTGTGTGAATTTTTTGTGGATCGATATGTTTCTTATATGTTATGTATATGTTATAATATGTGAATTGTAAGATAATAATTATGGTACGATGTGTTTAATGATATGTTTGAGATAAGATACGGGAAGGATGCACAAAATGAAATGTAACAATAGGAGTAAGATACGTTCATGAAACATTAAGGTTAGGTTACATACCGGAGTGCTATGGATATGAGATATTGATGAAAGAATATGGTTAGGTTATGGGTAGAAAGAGATAGGTTTGTGATAGATTGATAGAACAATAGTGTTAGGATACGTTCCTGTGATGATATGACTAAGGTACGTTCACGTAACGGAATGACTGTGATAGGTATAAGAACGTTAAGGCTCTCATAAGTTAGGGAACGATATGACCACGAAGTGTTTATGATACGATATATTGTGATGTGATATGTTATGTTTAGATTGTTTTGTGTGACCATTGAGGTAATTGTTGTATGAATTGCACGTTATGAAATGACATGTTAAAAGCATGGAGCGTTATGTTATGTTTTTTAAATTGTGTGTATGCAGCATGTTATGAATGACATGATATCATGATAAATGAAATGAAATATAACCCCATTAAAATTATGTATGATATGAGAACTGAAAATGAGAAAAGATATGATATGAATGTAAAACGATAGCGGGTTATATTTAATAATGTCGAAAATGAAAAAATATTGAGACCTCATTCATTATGTGTGCTCATGAATTTGGGGATACCCTTATTACATTACGATGGGCAGAGGTACAATCATTATGTTTTACACAATGCTGCCGGCAGGGGTACGATCATTATGTTTTACATAATGCTGCCGTGACGGTTATTAATTCTAACGGATGTATAGCCTAAGGAGCTCTCAGAGTATGCTCGCCTGACAAGAAAAGTGGCCCAGCAGTGTGCAAACTGATTGGTGAGTCCATACTCGCACGTATGGGCTGTGTGTAGAGTATATGATACACATCCAAGTTACCCGTTAGGACAGTACAATAGGAAATTAGATTGAAAGGATAGCTCCCGTCATTGCATTCACATGTTCTTGTATTTAACCGCAATATTGGGTCACTTACTGAATATTTATTTAAATATTCAAACCATGTGCTATTAAATTTTTCAAGTTAAAGCAAGGCTTTCATGTACAGTTGACGACGACATCGTAACTCGAGACCATGACATATGCATAGGGTAGTGATTTATTTTCTAGACTTAGGCTAGAATAGGATGTTTTTAATTTAAACTCTTATTTATTTTATTTAGTCTTTTGTTGTGTAGTTTTAAAGATGTTTTCGAAATACGTAAGTCATGGTTGTGTTTTAAGATAAATGTTATGTTTTATGGAATTTAAATGAAGTATTTCGCATTCAATGTTTAAGATATGTATACAGTAGTGACCTTAAATTAAGCAAAAAATATTGGGTTGTTAGATAAGCTCCCGAACATGACCAAATCGGAAAGTATTCACCTTGAACCTAGCTCAAGCTTTACTAGTGGAAATCGCTTGAATAAGCTCTCTAAAGTTAAGTTTTAGTTGATACTAAGTGAATATGAAGAATTTAGTACTTGAACCACACAACATTAAGGACCTAAATTGAACATTGACCCAAAAATCGAGTAATCATAAATTGACCTATGAAATAGATTCCACTAACTTCAGATCTTAAAGTATGGATTTATACTCTGATTGTATGATCTATGATGATTTTGATGGGAATCGAAGCATGATTAGGGTTTATGCCATTAATAAGGGTAGAAATGACAAAAATGCCATTATTAAGCCTTCTACTATGTTTCATGTTCCAAACGAACTTCAAATTGACATGAAATTTTACCTAGTATCTACTGATTTAATCATGATTTTGACATGTTTTAGTACACAATTGACATGTATATCTTGAGATAGGGCACATAAGTAAGTAGGTTGATTCCTAGACAAGGCACAACGCCTAAATAGCCAAGTACCACTCCAAGAAATGGACCCAACCTTGCCTAATAAGTACCCTGAGTCATCCTAGTAAAGCTTAATCAGCATCATCACACCCAACTCTGCCATATTCAACAAACAAAAACGAAGCAACCATTGTTGATTAAGATCTAATTGAAACAGTTTGGAGTTGGGTTCTTAAGTAGAACTGTACATCCCCAAGCCAAAAGAAACGAACCCAACTTCATAATCCTACAAACATAAACACTAACTTTCTGTGAGGCATTTCAGCATACAGTTTAGGAGCATAGATTTAACACAAACAAAACACATACAGAAAACGAAGGGGAAAAAAAAAAAGGTTTGAAGAGTTAAAGACACATATCATCGAACACCTTACATGCATAAACCAAAAACCCACCATTCTTTCTCATCTCCCCCACACAACACCATAGCATTGCACCACTACAGATTCAAACAAAAAAAAAAAAAAAACCAAAAAACCCCTACCGAGAACGTTGAGACGTTAAACGCAGAGCAGTGTTCGTCAACCAGACATTCGGTTCTTGTCTCCTCGAGTATTGTACAACCTATAGAACAAGTATGGTCGTTCCCAATTCCTTGCATTCTTCCATATAACTACTTTAACTCTGCAGTCCAACTTAACGATGTGGGACATTGGTTTTGAAGGACCGCTTCCTATTCTATATATACTTTTGCCATTGGGTTTGAAGGTAAATAAATCAAACCTAATTTACACAAAATATCATATAATTTAAAAAAAAAAAAAAAAAAAGATCATAGTTAAAAAATAATTATAAAAGATTTTTTAAAGAAATTATGTGTATATAAAAGATTAATACACTCACAATTTAATTTATTATAAAAGTTAATTATGTGATAAAAGTCGATTAATGTGCATTTAGTCCAGTGACATCTTTTTGCTTAGGGAGATAAGACTTAATTTGGTTGGTTGGTACATGGTCTAGATTAGGTTGGGTCGACGGATTTTTTTTTTACCCAAACAAAAGTTAGTTACATGGTTAATTCAACAAACTTAACCCGAAAAATTTATTTACCAAGGAATAAAGTTTGCCTACGAGTTTCAGATTTCATATTTTGGATTTTTTTTGAACCGACCAACACCAATGTAAAGAGTGTCGATTCTTCCATTTTGACCTATCATAATTATTTAAAATAAATATTTTATTAAAAAATACTTTTTATTATTTGATATATATATATATTTATTTCATTTCAATCTATTCTCATATTTTTGTTACTTTAGCTAATTCTCGAGATACATTGGTATTCAGTTGTCTTTAGTTTAGTTTTTATATATATATATATTTTTTTGTGAATAATTATAAATTGGGTATAAATAATTTTTTTTTTTTTTTTACACCCCAACTTGAAAATAGAGGGTTGAGTTGGGTTACTTATTCAACCTGAACTTTGGTTGGGTCAAGAATATAACCCAATCCAACTCGGACCATGTACACCCCTAATATATATATTTGAAAATTGTTTTTTTAAAAAGTTTTAATTGTTTTTTTTTTCAAGAAAATGGTTAGAAATTTGAAAATGACGGTTTTTTATTTTTATTTTTATTTTTTTTTATTACAGATGAAATTGTATGGTTTAATTTCACGTTTTTGTATGGTACGCCCATTTTCCGTCGAGCTCACTTGCTGTATTGAAGAGCACACATACTCGGGAAGAGAAGAAGAAGAAGACCAAAAGCGAAAAGGGAGGAAGAAATGTCTGCAAGAGGAAAGCGAAGAGACGACGAAGATCATGTATCTGAGGGAGATGCTCCTCCAAAGAAGACATTCAGGAAAGATTCCGATGAAACTGATGAAATCGTCGTCTGCGAGGTCTTTCAGTCCTTGTGTTTTTAGTGCCTTTAGTGTTGGTTTCAATTCTTTATTGGTTTATTTTTTGACCGCAGATTTCAAAGAACCGTAAGGTTATTGTGAGGAACTGGCAAGGAAAGATTGTGGTGGATATTCGGGAGTTTTATGTCAAGGATGGAAAGCAGATGCCTGGAAAGAAAGGTTCATCTCATCATCGTCTTCTTTTTTCTCTCTCTGTCTCTCCGGTTTTTCGTTTTTCTTGTAGTGGATGAATTGATTTTTCGTTTTGGATTTAGAAGTTTGCTGTTTTTCTAGGGTTTATGTTTCACTTTGAGTTTTCTGTTGTCTTCGTTTTCAGATTTGTCTTGGTATTTGTTTTGAATTGTCTAATGATGGTCGAGGGAGAATGTGGTGGTGAAATGTAATTCTAATGTGGTGATGAAATGAAATTCTAATGTGGGGAACTATTCTTGCTTCATTGTTGTGTTTCACTGTCTACACGATCACTTGGGGGCTGAACCGATAGTTTTTTCAGCTCCATTTAAGTTGTTGGAGATTCTTTTTGCATCAGATATTGAGATTGTAAAGCGTTACTCCATATTTTTTCTCTCTAGAATTTGATATAGGGGTTTGAGTAATGATGTTTGAAAACTGCATTTATGGCTTTATTATAGATGTTTGTTCAAAGTGAAGAGGAAATATTTTTGGATGATCGTATATATTCTTATGAACTTCAGTTGGTCTACAGGCAATTTTGTAAAATTTACCTTTCTCTGGACTTTTGCTATGACATAATTTAGCGAGGTTCCAATTTTTATGATCCACCAAGAATTTTGATTTGGGGACAGTTTTCTTATCTGGTTCTTGTAAAATAGTTGTTGGGAATATTTAAGGAAGAACGTATGTATAGGGATGAAAGAATAGATTTTGAAGGGCTGGGTAGAGGGTTTGAAAGGAAAAAAAAAAAGAAAAAATGATGGTGAAGAAGAGACTTGAGTATGCCCAATTTGGCTGGACACATACCTTTGTAGTGACCAGACGTCAATTTCACACTAATTGATTCAGTATTACGGAAGCCTTAAAGGAAGGTTATACATTAAGAATCACATGCTCAATCCTTTGCTATGAAGAGTAGTCAAGGAGGAGTTAGAGGAATTTTGTAAGATTAAGGTGGGCTTTCTTGCTCAAGTTTGAAAGGTAGATCAGCGAACAACATGGTAAACTTGACATTAAGTGATACCATGTCATGGGGAATGAAGAAGCTTCATGAAATACCTTTGATGTTATGGAAAGAAGAGATTGTTGAAGCTATATGTTAAAATTGCGGGAGAAAAGCTTTGAATATGTCTGCTTTCTTGGAGGCTGCAAGAAAACTATTGTGACTTCCACCAATTGAAATGGATATCACATATCCTAACGAAGGAAATTATGTGGTTCAAATAGTTGGTAGAGTGAGGAGTGTCCTTGGAGGATTTTTAGAGGCAGCATCCAAGTTCAAGGTGTTTAATTCTGTTTGAATGGTTGGTGTTGAAACTTCAAGTGAAGCAGGAGTAGAAGGTGGGCCGAACAATATTTTCACAATTCATGTAAGATAACATGGGGGTTCAAATGATAAAAAATTCTATTGTTGTTGAAGTTTACTTATACAAGTTGCTGATTAAGGAGAAGGTGGAATGTCTAGATTTGGAAGAGGAAGATGGTTTATTTAAATATAAATAGTTGGCTAATTTAATTGACAAAGATGGTTTATCACAAAGTCACTTGTTTATACAATGCACATACACACAGAATTTCTGGACAACGATTCTCAATATATTCGGATGACATCTCATATTTCCTAGGGAGGTAAAGGAATTTTTGGATATGGCCTTAACGTACCACCCTTTCAAGAACGCCAAAACCCTATTATGGAAAAACCTCATCATGACTTTCTTTTGGAATCTGTGGAAAGAAAGAAATCAGAGAATATTTGCAGACAAGACACAAACCTACACAAAACTTTTTGACAATGTTGTTTACCAAGCTATATCTTGGTGTTAATTGTTTAATATTTTTACTTCCTATAGTTATACCTCCCTCATTGCAAATTAGGAAGGTCTTTTGTAAACACCATGGATTATACATCTCTCTTGTAAATTTCAATCATCAATGAAATTGTCTCCTAAAAAAAATAATAATAATAATAATTGACAAAGATGTTAGAGAAAAAGTCATATGCCTAGGGGATTGCATGGAAAAATGAAACTTACGAGTTTAAAGAAGGGAATTTGGAAGGGTTGGAATCGGTGAGTTCTAGAAATATATTATAGAAGGTGGTTGGTAATAAGTTTGGGACGCTTTTGGTAGTGGTAACAATGGGTTTTGGTGGCTGAAGAGGTGTTAGTGGGGTATTAAGTGGAAGAATTGGTGTTCATAGAAGTGGAGGACTTTTGATAAATGTTTAAAGAAGCATGAGGAAAGAAGGGAAAATTAAAAAAAAAAAAGGTGATAATGAGTTGGCATTAAATAAGATCGATTTTGAAAAGGCTTGTGACCATGTCGATTGGAATTTCCTTGACAAAATATTGACAATAAAGATTCTAGTTATAAATGGAGATCTTGGATTTGGAGTTAGTGTCAAGTCGATAAAATTTTCTATTCTCATTAATGGAAATCCTAATGGTAAGATCACAACTTCGTGAAGCCTTAGGCAAAGGGACCCTTTATCTCCTTTCTTATTCTTGCTTGTTGTAGATGTTTTGAGCAGAATGGTCTCCTAAAGTATTGAAGGTAAGAATATCAAGGGTTTTGAAGTGGGTAGGATAAGGATATCCTTTCATCTACAATTTGCCTATGGTACTATCTACTATTGTTTTGTTTGGGTAAGGCGTAGTCTTCTTAATTTTGAACCACATCCTTGCTTTCTTTCAAGCTACATCGGGTCTTAAAACCAATAGGGCTAAATGCTAGATTCTAGGTTTGAACGGTGATCCAGTGAAGGTGAGTAAGTGAGCTCTGTTGGTGGGGTGTGAAACTGGCAAATGACAACTTTCCATCATCTGCATGTGCCTTCCTCTCCGAAATAACCCAAGGCATACTTTCTTTTGGAGTCCTATGGAGGACAAGGTGAGAGAGAGATTGGCTTCGACTTTTTTTCTCGAAAGGAAATAGACTCGACCTAATTTGGTCGATTTTAAGTGGTTATATCTATTTGTTTTTTCTCGCTCTTTAGAGCCCTATGTTTGGTGTGCAGGAGCTTGGAAAAACTTATGGTGGACCTTCTATGGGAAGGATTGGAGGAAGGTAAAGGAGTGCACCTGCTTATTTGGGAGGTCGTAAGGAAGCCTTTGCACCAGGAAGAGTTGGAGTTAGTGAATTTATGGGCTTGTAACATAGGGTTATAGGCAAAGTGGTTACGGCGTTTCCCCTTTTGAGTCTACTTCTCGTTGGTATAGGATTATCGTGAGCTAGTATTACTCTCATTCCTTCTAATGGACGTCGAGTGGGGTTAAAGGCTCATTCATAAACCTTTGGAAAGATATTTTTAACGAGCCCTTTTCTTTTTCTGATTTAATTAAGTGTGGTAGTGATAGGAGTGATACATTTTTTAGGGACAATAGGTGGATGATGGATCGACCCCTCTACCGCATGTTTCCTGGTCTTATCATTTATTCGCTATGAAAGACTGGTGTTCTACTGATGTTCTAATTCATTTTGTCATTTGTTTGACAAGAAAACAATGGAGGTAATGGCTTTCCTTTCTTTAACCGGAGAGTTTGAGCTTAGATCGGAAGAGGATTTCATTTGTGGAGCCCTAACCCTTTTGAATGCTTTTCTCATTATTATTGTGCCCTTTTCCATCTAGGGAGTCTATTTCTTTGATTCTTTTGAAGGTGAAAATTCTAAAAAAGGTGAAGTTATTTATTTATTTTTTTGGCTGGTTATCCATGGAAGAATTAATACTTTGGATAGGCTTTTGAGGAAGTTGTCATTTTTGGGAAGGCCTATATGTTGTATCCTTTTTCAGAGGGCGGTGGAAGGTTAGGATACTTTATTTTCAAGTTGTGATTATACTCAAATGGTGTGGAATTACTTCATTGGTGTGTTTGGCATATAGCTTGCTTGACACAAAGATTTTAGTGAAATGATCAAACAGTTCCTCCCCCATCCGCCATTTTGGGAGAAAGAATGTTCTTTATGCCAAATCGAGGTGTGTACTTTATTGTGGGGCATTTGGAGAGAGATAAATAATAGAAAGTTGGTCTCTTATAAAAAAACAAACAAACAAAAATTTCCCGGTATGAAAGTTTTTACAGCTTTTGTTATCATTTTAATTGGTAGAGGGATATTTGTATGCTTCTAAAGGAGATTTTATTCCTTTTAACCTTTCATTATTGTGGGGAAGTTTAAAAAAACGTAACCTTACCTCTAGGCTTTAGACTTGGTATTGAAAAGTATCCAAAAATTTGAAAATTGAGACCCCCCCCATGCATCTTCTCTACCTCTTACCAAAGCCACTACCTGGAAAAATAGCATCAAGGAATTCTAAGCTTGTTAAAGGTGTCTTTACTTTAGAAGTTTAGTAACTTTCCCGGTGAAGGTAATCTAGCTTGTTGTATAAACTTGTTTAGGTTCAAATAAACTGAACTCTAATGATATGGGAAACATATAAACTCTGTTTTAAGTAGAGTATTCGGTATTTCGCACACACTTGGCGTGTGTCAAACTGTTGGGTATCTTCCTTATTTTCCTTTGATTGATAATAGAAACCAACGATGAGTTCACAAAATAACAAGGTCATACTTTACTGGATTGAAGCCCCTTTTGTAGATTGTTTCTTGTTTCCCCTTTCTTTGTGGACTATGCCCTTCTATTCTTTCAATAAATTTTTTTGTTTATCATCATAAACAGAATATATATATATATATATATATATATAGCATCAAGATACAAGGTAGAACTCCCAGCCAATTTGAGAGTTTTGGTAAACTCTCCCAAGAGACTATTTCTCCTCAGACTAATCTCCTAACCAATTTCCTACACTACTCACCCCTTCTCAACTTTCAGACACCACCCCCCACCAACTGTCGCTTTTTGTCCTCCTTACTAGATGTATGAACTTTCGGAGGGCTGACAATAGTATTTCAAAAAGCTCAAAAGGTGCAAACTAATTTTTTATTTTTAAATTTGGACATGCTGAGATGTAGCAGAAGCATACTTAGCAGAGAACTCGTTTGTTATTGGAAAATAAAGAACAAATATGGTGTCTTCTGCCATACTATGATTACTATCACCCAAATCTTTCAGACAAGGATATAGCGTAGAAGAGAAAATTTAGAGGCAGACTTAGCATAAGAGAAAGAGAACCATATGAACGAAGGAGAAGGAGAAAGATAGTTGGGCCAATAGTGAAAGTGAGAATATATCTAGCGAAGAGTGATAGGATGGTTTCAGTGCAGGAGAAATCAATTGTGGAGGATAGAAGTTCGATTTTTTTGGTTGAAAAGTTATTGCAAAAGAGACTTCTGATTTGGATGGGTTGAAATCTGACTTTCTTGTTTTAAAAGCTTTTGAAACCGAGGCTTCAAATTTTGATTTGCAGTGGTTCAATCTTCATAACCCTTTTTTACACTCCAAAAGGGATTTATTACTACTACCATTTATTTCTGGGCTGTCATGGAAACGTTTTAAATATATTGGTACTAGTTCAAAAAAAAGGTCTGCTTATGTACAGGTAGGACTACACAACTTCTTGTCCATCCCTTGATGCATTTTAACAATCTCAGTTCTAATGCTTGCACCCTTTCGGATTGCAACACTATGAATGCTATATTGTGTAGTCATATATAAATATATGAAGTTGCATATGTAGCCAAGCTTAACATAAAATAAGATAGTAAAACACTGAATATTTTGGATCTCACGTTATAAGCTGAAGTAAATTTGAACAGAAGAGCGTTTCTCCAAATGAAAAACTATGCAATAAAACCTCTGATATGCCTCTATTTTAAATATCTCTCCAAGTAAGTACAAATGGGGGAATTAATCCCTGATGGCTAGTTTGTTTGGTGGAGAGGAAATATATGCTATTAGAGGGTCATGGGAAAGGCATTTAGAGTTTCGGTAGGGTACTTGTTTATTTGTTCAATCCCTCTGTTTGAACTTGTGTGGCTAAGGACTTTAGTTTTTATTCTCTCAGTCTTTTAAATTTGAGCTTTTCTTTGGTAGCTTTGTAGTTAGTCTATTGTTCTTGGGCCCATTTGTATTAGTTTTTTTTTTTTTTTCGTTTATTGTCTTTGTATCATTTGTTCTCGATGAAAATTGACTATTTCTTTCTTTTTTTTTTTTTGAATGATTAATCAGGATTTTCTTTGGGAGAGAAAAAAGAAAAAGAACCCACAAAAAGTTGGCCTTCGCATTTTAAAAAATGTTGCTAACAATAAACTTGCATTGACAAATTAGTCATGATTTTCGTTCCAAGTTGTCTATCATTGTTTTAACTCACAATGGAATATTTGACGCTCTTGATCTTTTCTTTTTTATAAATATTAACTTACCATAGACGATATAATTATATGAGTGGGTTGCATATAATACTGCAAATGTAGAAGTTGAGTATGCCGTTTGATTTTCTTTCTGTTTCCAGGCATCTCGCTATCCTTGGATCAGGTATGCACTTATTTTTATTTTCTTAAGCTTCAATATCTTTTTGTGTTTCTTTGTTCTTTTAGAGAAGTTTAATCATCTTTCTACTTTTTACAATGGTTGTCTTTCTGCAGTGGAATGTTCTCCGTAATCATGTAGATGAAATTGACAAGGCTGTTGATGAAAATTCGTTAGGTGATTAGTGAGGCATCTTTGGTTGATATTAGTAGCAAATGTATTGCTCCGTAGGGTTGTTTTGCTTTATGACAACGAAAGTATGCCTTTTGTACAGCCAATGGGCTTGGTGGAAATGAAGACCAGAGAGCAGGTATATTTGCAGTTGTATTTGTATAAACTGGATCACTGGATTGACATTTTGAATTATAGTATGGCATAACTGACTACTACAATTCTCAATTAGTATCAAATTGATATTTTGAGCATCAAATAGAGAATCTTCTCCTGGGTTAGATATTGCACCATGTTCCAAGCAAAAGAAGTTTCTAAATGGCCAAAACTCGACTTCGTACCGATCCCTCTCCTAGGTTACATATCATCTTGGAGTAAGCCAATACGATCTGGAGGAGCTCATCTCTCTCTTTATGACAATTGGGTAGCAAGCTTCCCAAACTATATGCCAAGATCGAAGAAGAACATGGAGCCTTGACATGATGTCATGGTTCGAGATAAATGAATATAAAAATAGAACATAGCTAAAAATGTAACATGATACGAAGGGATGCACCATTCAATGCTGTCACCACTTCCACATGAATAGTAGCTTCCTATTGACATAGATCATGCCCACGAAGGGCAAAATAAAATAAAGATTTACTTAAATTGTGTAAGGGCAATAAATTCAGCCCTCAAACATTCAACTTTGTATCATATTTGTTTCTAAATATCATTTAAATAGGTTTTTTAACTTTAACAAAATATCTAATATATCTTTTAGTTTTCAAATTTATATTTAATAGGTTAAAGTTTTCAATTAGAGTAAAGAGTTTTTGAATTCTAAACCAATCACTTTAATCTCACAGTCTATTATCGACAGGTCTAACTGTTTACGAGTAAAGGCCTCAGTGCAATATGACGATGGTTCAAGGTCTCTAACACATACCAATCTGAAAACTCACTGTCTATGGAAATCGACTCAATGTTACTAGAGAAGACTTTTATTGAAGACATGTTTACGTCCCAAGCACATTATTTAAAAAGGAATGCCTTTTTCAAACTTATTATAAAGAAGAACAACTAATCTAAGAGCTTGGTGATTTCTTATATAGAAGAAATTGAAGCTAATGTTCCATTTTTTGAGTGGTTTGAAGAAAATGTCCTTTAGATTTTTACTTTGACTGATTAATCCACGGTGGAAAAAGAAAAATTACTTAACGGTGAAAAAAGAAAAACTTTAAGGAGTGCTTCGTGTACAAAAATTTTAAAATGATTTAATTAATAAAAGGTTTATTATCACAACCGATTCAAATATTTATCTGTTTTTTTGCTCCTCTCTATAGGTATGTGTTTTAGCCCTGATTGCACTCTTTAATACTGAAAGAGGAAGAAATTTATCTTGCTAATGTACTTGTTTATTGGATTGAATGCGGGGTAGTTATTTCTGACTGAACCGCTCTTTGCTTCACTCAAGATGTTTTATTCTATGAATTATAGAAGTTAACATTTTGCAGGAAACCATGATTTCGTTAGTGTTGATGACCCAATCTGACCGAAACCTTTAGATGGACCATTACTGATAAAACTTAAATACATTGTAAAGATAATTGACATAACTTGTTAATAACAAGTTAGATACTTAACGGGTAAACTATTTACTCACAAAAATAATTTTTAATTTTCTTTTAAGAGAAACGGGACGCAACATGACTTAGACTATGGGGTGGAAGAGCCGGAGGCTTGTGTAGATTGATACATCTGATAGGGACAAAAGGTATTTACAATAACGACTAAATAAAATTAACATTAATTAGAGACAAAATGTTAAATCCATTTCTCTTAAAGTATAGCGTAACATTATAACAATGAATTTTAGGGCAGCGACAACCGAATACTTTCCAGGAAAATCAAGATTATACCTCAAAAAAGAATAGAAAAGAGAGAAGAAACGTAATACCACTAAATTCAGGTGGTTGAAACTCTCGTTAAAAGAAAGATCTTCAATACAAGGATCGAGTTTTTAAGATAAAAAATCTCAACAAAAATCGGTAGAAATTGTAGCCTATCAGTTCCAAGTTAATCTCATTCACAATGTTGAGCTGGGATCGCCGAACGCTAATGTATTTTCGCTTACATATACTCGAAAAACATAGAACAACAAATGCATTGAAGACAATGCAAGAAAAAGAAAAAATCCATTGAAAAATTTCATGTTACTAATATAATGGCAAAGAAGTTAATGTAAGATTATAAATACTTCTACATATATTCACCCAGTTTGTACACATCACAAGCAAGAATTGGCGAAGAAACGAATATAGATAAGCAAAAACCACACAACTTCATCATATTTCTACTTTATATCTAACTCTCCCCATCATTTACCATTCATTCATACACTGATCTTTCTTTCTTTTATAGACTTGAGGAAAATCATCAATTATACAGAATAACAAAAAAAGGATGAGCAGAAAAAGAATGAGAAACAATGAAATCATATTACCAGTTTGGATGTCATCTCGTCCACCAAATTGCGAAGCCACGTCTTTATCGGTTGCGTGGCCCTCTGAACCAAACATTCATTCTCCCGTTTCGTCTTCGAAAAATCATCCATTGAACTTAGAAAAGTTCCTCCGAGTTAAATTTATTCCACGCTTCCTGTTGTCACGAGATAGAAACACTTAACGAGCGCAAGTGCTCGTATAATATCGATAACAAACCGGAAATATTCTTACCTTTAGAATGTCAAACACCTTCTCAGCAACATACTTTTGCTGAAGAGTGGCACCTTTTTGCTGCACCTTATCAGGGTGAATGCATAGCGTGGCTTTCCTATATACTTTCTTGACTGAATTTGGAATAACCATCTCAGTCAAAGAAACTGGCTGCCACCCACACTCAGGCCAGAGCACCTAATTATATCATTTAACAGTGAAACAAACTACTCAGCCCATGACAACATACAACACTTGCTCGCAAGATTGTTTAGCTAGTAAATTCACAACACTTACGTATTGCAAAGTTGATAAAAGAGCACGTAAATTGCCCTCCTTCCCTGCAGCCCAACGCTTGATCTCAGCATCCAGTGTTTCAGCAATTCTCTGCACGGGAAAATCGATTGTGTTGGAGAAGGTGAGATTGTATGTACAGAGTATGGTAAAGGGTGGAGTCGAAGAGTAATCAATCGGCTCCACTTGCGGCAGCCATGAAGACTGCCCCCGCGGCGTCAAAGCCGTCGGTGGTGGTGGAGAAGAAGATGAGTAGAGGATTCAAAAGCCATGAAAATAAATGATCGGAGTTGCTAAACCGAAAGGACTCTTATACCATGAGAATATTTGTTAAAACCAACCTTCCTAAAATGGTGGTGAAATTTGGACAATATCTGCTAGCGGTGGGCCTGGGCTGTTACAAATGGTATCAGAGCCAGACACCGAGCAATGTGTCAGCGAGGACGTTGTTCCTCAAAGGGGGTAGACACGAGGAGGTGTGCCAGTAAGGACGCTGGGCCCCGAAGGAGGGTGGATTTGGTAAAGGTCCCACGTTGATTGGAGAAAGAAACGAGTGTTAGCAAGGATGTTGGACCCTAAAGGGGGGTAGATTATGAAATCCCACATCGGTTGGGGAGGAGAATGAAACACCCTTTATAAGGGTGTGGAAACCTTTCCCTAGCCGACGCATTTTAAAAAACTTGAGGGGAAGTCCGAAAGAGAAAACCCAAAGAGGACAATATCTGCTAGCGGTGGACCTAGTTCGTTACAATTAGAAACAAAGGCAACATGTGTCAAGAAAATGCACTCACATGTCTCTCGGCTTGTTCCCTTTGCATTTGAAGATCTCGCTCATTTTTCTCAGCCAGAGCTTTTGCCTGAAACAATGCACACAAAGTTCAAAAGCCTCATAAAAGCAGTGCACATTGTATCTCTATTCTCTGCATCAATATGTTTTGTAATGCATATTTAAACAGAACATAGAAGCTTACCGCACGCGTTTGTACCCTCTGGTGGCGTTCCAATCTGGCTCTTCGTCTTTCCTCGCTCTCCCCATCGACTTCCTGGAATTCTCCAGAAGATGGAGGACCTTTTCCAAAATAAATAGTTAAAGTCAACATTCGTGACGAAGTCCAACTTCTATTGAAGTGCATTAAGATGTAAAAGTACCTCCAAAGATAGATGAAAGATCATCAACAATATTAGTGGTTGAAGATGCTTTCCTCATACTTGATGAAGTGGTAGAAGGCTGTTTAGTTGTCTGCGGCTCTGGTCTACTTGGTGATTGGGAATCAAAGAAGTTGTCCTGAAAACAGTCCTTGATGAGAAACCAGAGATTGAAAAGAAAGCAAAGGGGACCGGGTTACAAGATTTACGAACTTAAGTCCTCACCATAGGGTTGGCCCTGGGCCTAGGTGCACTACTGGCTCTACCCATGCTGAAAAATGACTCAAGGTCGTTTTCGTTCTTCTGTTGGCTTGCCCTGGCTGCTGCTGCAGCCCTCTCTCGAGCATCTGCAGCAGCCCTTTCTCGAGCCTCTGCAGCAACTCTTTCCACGGCAGCTCGTTCTGCCCTGCTCCGTGCTTCAGCTTCTGCCCTTGCAACAGAAGCTCTCTCTCGTGCTTCCTTCTCTTTTGCTTCTGCAGCTGCCTTTTCTACTCTTTCCCGTGCTTCTGCTGCAGCCCTTTCCGCTCTTTCTCGGGCCTCTCCTGCAGCCCTTTCACGGGCCTCAGCTTGAACTCTTTGAACTGCAACCCTTTCAGCACGTCCTCGAGCCTCCGCGTTTACCTTTTCAACAGCAACCCTTTCAGCTTTTAAGCGAGCTTCAGTAGCTGCCCTCTCACGTGCTTCCCTTGTGGCCCTTTCAACAGCCTGTCTGGCTTTTATCCTTTCCATCTCAAGCTCCCTAGCTCTTTCCCTTTCCTTTTCTAACCTTCTTTGTTCTTTCTCTTTCTCCTCTCTTTCCCTCTCAAGCTCCCTCGCTCTTTCTTTCTCTCGTTCAGCTCTCCGTTTCTCCTTCTCTTCCCTTTCCCTTTCTCGTTGGAACCGTTCATGATCCATGCTCTCCTCATCTTCAACTCTATTATTTCGCATGGCTTTCTCATCTCTATCCCAATATACAGATTCTTTACTTTTAGAAGTTCTTGTACTCTCTCTTTCCCTCACTTCCTTGGCATGCTTAAACTTAGCCTCTGCTCTATCCATTGCCTCCTTCATGGCTGCAGCAGCAGAGTTCATCTCTGCTTCTTCATTAGAAAGACCATTTACTAGATCATCAGCATTACTCTGATTCCGTCCCATGGCAAATTCCTCGAGTTCATCCACCGAAGATACTTGATCTCTCGTTGAGGCAGAAGCAGATTTAGGAATCTGATAATGATGTGTAGAATTGGGAACTGAAGAAAAGTCATTAGCATTCATCTTTGAACTTCGAGACCCATACGGACTCGTTCCTTCTTTTGGAACCTGCTGCGGTATAGGAGGTGGCGGTCTTGAAGGGGGCGGAGAAACAGTGGGTTGTGTAAAAAGAGGAATCTCTGATACAGTGAGCCATATTTCATCTGATTCAACACGATCTTCAAATCTAGACGTATCGCCCATCATGTTTTCATCTTTCGGAGCTGGAGGAGATGTTGATTGAGGAACAAATTTATGAAAACTAGTTGGAACTGTAGGAATGTCGAACACCGGCTCATCAAATTGTCTGTCATTCTTAGCCGACACCTCCTTCTTCAAAGGTTGTCCAGAAGTTTTTCCAGATAGTTTCTCCATAGTATCTTTACTCTTATTATTCTGAGGCCCAGCAGAACTTCCATCTACCTTAGGAGGACTCCTAGCCTTACCTCTATTATTCCCTTCTGATGAAAATGCAGGGACAGATTTACCAAGGCTAGCAAATGGGTCCATATCATCAACAGCTTTATTGTTCGCACCAGAGGAAGGGTAACCATCAAATTTTGGGCTTTTAAAATTACTGACGTCACTAGCTTCTTCATGGTGTGGATCATCACGCTCCCTTGACACGCCAAACGGGTTTTCCATTGGCATGGAGGACGTTTTACTTTTAACTGAACTTGGCTCTGATGACCAGCTGCCTCCTGAGTTTGACCTGAAAGTAATATTACAGGAAGATTTTTAAAAGATAAGGATGCGTTTATTAAAATCTAGGACACTAACATGACAAGGACGCATTTATTAAAATATACATTTTTTAAAGTCAATAAGTTCATGGATTTTATACGCTTAAGACTTTCGAACCGACTCCTTTTGAGCACACCAAGAAACACTGCCATTAATGAGCCACTGCAATTTTCAAGTCAAACGGAAATGGACAAACAAGCAATTTTGAGTTTTGTCCTCTCAACAGAAAACTGCAACACAAAGCCTCCTTGTTGATAGATACTAGATAAAAAATCCTAGGAACAAATTCGATTGATCCAAACCCAAGATTCAGATGGCCTTCATTTTCCAAGATCCTTCCCGACCTCGATGCACCATCTACTTGTCCTCAGCTACTTGTGAGAATGAAGACAGTCCTACGTACCAAAATGGGTCCTTTCAACATGATTTCCCTCAGTAACATGTTGTTTAGAAAATTTTCCTAAGAGTTAAAATTGCTACAATATCAAACGATTAGGTCACTGAACATGATTGAAGGTGCATCGTTTATTATATAACTAACAATTCTTTTAAACTTTTGTTAACCATGCTTGCATAGCCTCTAATGTGTTACTGATGGCATTTGAAAGGAATCTCTCCTAGTATGATGAAGTCGAGATCAATCAAGGCAAAAGTGGGTGGACATGTGACATGCAACAAGAGAGGTACGTAAATGAGTTGACATCACATCTAAATTAGGGGATCCTATGGCCATGCAAGCATGGTTAAGAAACGCTTAAAAAGTTGATAGTTACTATCTATCCGAAGAAGGTAGATCCTTTCTGGTGGCCCATAGAAACTTCAGTGTTTTATTTTATTTTACTTTTTTAATAACTAAACTTTCATTGAGAAATAATAAAAGAAAACAAGGAAATACAAGAAAGGAAAGCCACAAAAAAGAAAAAGGAGACAACCTACAAAAATGACCTTCAATCGAACAAAATAAGACCTAATAGATAATTATAAAAACGCTTAGTTACAGACGCTCACAGACACAAAAGTCATCAATACAATATACCATACCTCACCAATAGGCCTCTCAAATCCTCTACAAACCATATTGCTTCTTTCTCCCCAAAGCCTCCTATAACGACATGCACCCCAAACACAAAAGTCTTCCTTTCCAGTAAGGAGTAGGAACTCCTTTAACATTTCTATACAATCTCTATGTCTAGTCAATCCCACACAAACTCCTAAAAATAAGTTTCAAACTTCATAACCCCAAAGAATATGATCAAGGTCCTCCACAACTCTCCTACTCAAAATGTTCATAGGAACTTCAAAGCTAAGCATTCCGAGCTCAAAACAATCCTATATTGGATGACTTCATGAAAAAAATTTCTAACCATCACGTCAATGAGGATAGAGTATGCTAAAAGATCTACGTTGGTCTATAGGGATAGTCTTCACTGTCATAAGTAACTCGTGTAAGGTATAAGGCACATCTAAGCCCGAGGAGATGCAGAAGAATGTTAGGACTGTCAAGTGCAAAATTGAAAATTTGAACGATTGGCCTAGGGCACTACACAAAGTTTCAAAAGAATTATTGTCGCTCCAATTTTCTTCCAAAAATGCACCCTTCCCAACGTCACATCTGGAAGAGAAGAAATCCTCACACCTCAGTAATCTATTAAAGAAATCAATCACAATAACAGATAAAAATAGAGAGAACAGATCCATTTGCCTCAAGCCTCAAAAAGACAAAATTCACCTCTTAGTTAACTTTACAAGATTGAAAAGCTTGTATTAGAGATTAATTGACTTAGTAATTTATAGCTTTTTTATAGTAAGATGTCAAGAAATCTCCATATTCCGTCCTTTAAAATCTTGCTTCAAAATTTTGAGCTTTTCAACTTACAACTTGACTATTCCTCCACACAAATATAATGCCATCTTCTCTTCTAAATCGAGAAGTTGTGAAGGGAAAGCCAAAACTTTTCAGTTTTAAATGGCAAAGGCCCCGAATAGAAACGCAAGCCTAATTCTTTTCCCAATATTAAGTGATTATCTAATAGGGAGGGTCAATAGTGATATGAATCCTAAGGCTATCCAAGGACTAAAGCCAACAAGATTTATAAGGCATTGCAAAGCATTCAAGGAGTTTGATGATTGGAGCTAAAGAACTTATTGGAGAACAAGATCCATAGAAGTCAGCTTCAAAAACCCTAAAACGAATTTGAAAATCGAACCAGTAAAAGAACCCAAGAAATGTAAATACAAAATTCCATTGAAGATCAAATATCAAGAGGGAAAGAAGATTGTTCCATGTTTGAGATATGAATCACTCCATAGCAAAAATTGATAAAGTCAAATTTCAATAATTCTAATCATGCAACCTAAACTACATAAAATTGCAAAGAAATTTAGTTTTACGTAAAAGAAAGCACAAAGTCTCTTTTATTGCATTTTCCAAGTCTCCCATCTACAAAGGAATTAGCTAAGCTATACATAGCGTGCATGTAACCTACCTACATGAATGTTATAACAATGCTAACTTCGAATAACCTACCTAAAAAACATAGATGAAGGATTTAAAACTAAAATTACAAGAAACTAAGCAAGAAATCCGAGATTAAAGCCCATTGATCAGCCTTGAAAGCCTTTCCAATCTCTCGTGTATAAATGAAGCTCCACTTGATGTAGTTGCAAAGGTGATCTCATTGATGGATACTTGACTTGGACTTGTACTAAATGAACATTGAGATACACTTATGTTCATTTAATGCAGCTTAAATTCCTACAATGCAACTAGAATTCACTTTAATACAACTCAACTTCATTTAATGAACTTGAGTTCAACTTTGGTTCGTCATAAATCAAGCCCGGGTGCTTTGCTATTAGAAATGCTGCCATTGTAATTAGACACCAAATTTTTCTTGGTTAAATAGATGAACAAGAGTAAATGTAAGACCATAAACCCCATTTTACCTTTCGAGAGGTTAGGAACTTGGAAGGGAGTTTGAACAAGAACAAAAATTAGGTAGACAAACTTGACAAAACAAGAGTCCGCAAGGCTAAATCTCCCTCACTGGAAACGATAGCATCATTTTCATTTATCTAACCTTTTAGAGACTCTCTCAATAACAGGGATTAGGAATCCAGATTGTGAGTATCATTTTCCAATGGAAAACCAGGCAACGGCATAGTCTTTTTCAATGAAACGTTTCGCATATTAAAATTTAGGGATAGTACTCGAGAGGATTGACTAGCAAAGATTCTTACAAATAACTCCATGTATTAGCTACAAAGCAGCCCCATAAACCCAGGCAACAGCAACAATTCATTCTAAAGTGCCATGTCTATAAATCCAAACATAAATGCTGAATACAATGATTGCTGCAATGAAACATCAGTTCAAGAAAAGCAACCGAACTGCACAATTTAACATCAAAAGTTTAAACAATAAGCATGAAAGAAAGCAATCCAAACACAAATTGATCAGTAAACAATTACGAAGCTTAACTAAACTACAGAAGCCCATTTGAAGATTGCACACCATCATCATGTTATACCTGTCACCAGGGGAGCTGCTGCCTCTAAACCCAGGTATCAAATCATCAAAAGCAGGAATCTCTTTATCCTTACGCTTCGATACACCTCCCGATTTGTTAAATCCCCCAAGAAGATCATCGAATGCTGAATCTGCTTTAGGCGGCGAAGACATTGATGAAAACACATCATCATACTGAACTTTAGACGAGTTTTTCAAGCCCGGAATGCCATCAAAGATATCATCATCATACACGGGTTTATCATAAACCGGTAAGTTCGAAGCCACCGGTTGACCAGAATTACCAGCCCCATTAAACAGAGAGTCGAAATTAACATCGGAATCACCAGCACGACTCTCCGATTTTCTGGAGAATCTGGACGACTCCCCAAGCAGATCATCGAGACCACCGAATTCGCGATTCTCATGGGCACTCATGGATCGATTAAGCGAATCATGGTCATCGGCGAGAGACCCAGATTGGGAATTGGAGGTCTTAGTGGATCGGAAGGAGGCACGAGATCCAAGGTCGAAATTCGGGGAGCTTGTGGGGTTGTTGATATTGGAAGTACCCTTTGAAGCAGCCATTGGGGCGGCTTTACCTTGGGGCTTGAATCCATAATTGGTAGCTAGAAGACCCTCAAAGTCGTTCATGACGATGAGTTAAAATACAAATACAAAGTGATTGAGAAACAAAAAACAATGATACAGAGAGAAGAAAAGTAAAAATTGGGAGAGGGAAAAGGGATCGCCGAAGAAGAGAAGGAACGGAGACGAAGAGATCTGAATTGGGTGGAGAGAGAGAGGAAGAGAGAGAGAGAGAGACCTCCTGCAATGAAGTGCAGGGGGCATACGGTGGAGGATCGAGAGAAGAAATGGATGGTAGAATAGAATCAACGAAGAGGGATTAGTGGAATTAACCCATTTCTTAATTGTTACCCTTTTTTATTGCGAACATTTGTGTCAAACCCAAGATCAGGATGTTTTCTTTATACGATAAGGAGTGTTTTATTGAAGAATTCTTGTTCGATTAGAGGATATTTGAATGTACATTTTCTTTCATCATGCTCTATTTATTATAAGAAATCAACTTATTTCAATTTTTTTCATGAATTAAATTTTTTTATGTTTAGAGTGTAGTAATAAAAGAAAAGAAACAAGTAATTTAATGTTATAGGCTTTTTATTAAGAAGGATCGTGAGTTGGATTGGATCAATTGGTGCGCTCAAATGGCCGAATCTCTTGATATTGGCATTCCATCGATCATATGCCAACAAAGTGATACCCCACAACCTATCATTAATACAGGCAATGGATTCTACTACGACAACTTTAGTCCTAACAATCCTAATAGCCCAAAAATGTTTACTGAAAATGTAACGCTTAAGCCCACCACTAGCAAATATTGTCCTCTTTGGGTTTTCCCTTTCGACCTTCCTCTCAAGGTTTTTAAAACGTGTCTGCTAGGTTTCGTATGGGCGTTTCTTTCCTACGACGGGCGTCAGTTCTGGGTTTTTCTCTTCTGCAGATTCTTCCAAGACTTTGGTCGTTCTTTTAATGCCTCCTCATAGGTCTTTGGGTTAACCTCCAAAAGAGAAAAAACCCAAAACCGACGGTCGTCATGGGAAAGAAACGCCCATATGAATCCAGGCAGACGAATTATACAAAGCTAGCCAGGAAACCCCGTTATCATGATAGGTGACCTACTCCATCGCTAGTGGCAGAAACCCCGGGGATATAGATAGGGGACAGGGACGTGAAAAGCCTTTATGTCGCAACTATGGGAAACAACACTGGGGCAAACGTATGGCAGGCTCTGAGGTATGCTTCAGGTGCGGTCGTGTAGGTCACATGGCCAAATACTGCACTAGAAAGGACGCAGGTCCCCAGGGGACCACCTAAAGGCCTGGGCAGTGGCGAACACCCCATGCAAACCTGCGCACAGACCAGGTCATATGCAACGACCAGTAAGGATGCAAGAACGTCTGGCATCGTGGTGATTGGTACGCTTTCTATATTAGGACACTTTGCATTAACATTGTTTGACTCTAGCTCTACATATTCTTTTGTTCCTATGTCTTTTGTTAGTCAAGCAAGGTTCACAGTAGAACTCTTATTGCATGTGTTGTCTGTGGGTACCTCAGCGGGGGTAGGCCTAGTTACTGAAAATATGGTAAAAGACGGACAAATAGTACTAGCTGGACGAACCATCCATGTAAACCTGAAAGTAATAGATATGACAGATTTTATCGTCATATTAGGAATGGATTGGCTAGCCAAAAACTATACTAGCATAGACTGTCATAGGAAAAATAAAGTAACATTTACGCTACCAAACAGACCTAACTTTAAATTCAAAGGAACTTGCACGGGAGTCACCCCAAAAAGAATATCGATGATGAAAGTCAAACGCTTGGTACTACAAGGGGGCTAGGCTATACTAGCCTGTGCCATGACACAAAGGGAAAAGAGAAAACAATGGATGTGGTACCCGTTGTAAACGAATTTCTAGATGTCTTCCTGAAGGACCTGCCAAGAGTCCCTCATTCATGAGCGGTAGACTTTGAGATAGAACTTGAACTAGGAATGAGACCCATCTCCAAAGCACCATACCCCATGGTCCGAGCGGAATTAAAAGAACTTAAACTACAACTACATGACCTATTAGAAAAAAGTTTCATTCAACCTAGCATATCCATCCCCTTGGGGTGCGCCAGTGTTGTTTGTTAAAAAGAAAGACGGTTCGATGCGCATGTGCAACCATCTTGAGGGAAAACAAGTTGTATGCCAAATTTTCCAAATGTGAATTTTGGCTATGAAAAGTTTCATTCTTAAGACACGTAGTGTCTAATAGTAGACCCCACTAAGATAGAAGCTGTCACGAAATGGGAACTCCCAACTATGGTCACCGAGGTACGTATTTTCTTAGGGTTGATAGGCTACTATTGAAGATTTGTCCAAGACTTCGCTAGAAATCCCTCGCCTCTTACACATCTGACAAAAAAGAACGTACCTTTTTCATGGGACGATGCCTATGAGGCCAATTTCAAGATCTAAAACAAAGACTAGTGTCTGCTCCAGTACTCACGGTCCTAGAAAGCTCAGCGGGATACATGATATACCATGACACATCCAAAAAAGAACTAGATTGTGTATTGATGCAACACGACAAGGTGGTGGCATACGCATCACGCCCAACTAAAAGAATATGAGAAAAACTATCCTACATATGGCCTAGAATTAACGATGGTAGTGTTCGCATTAAAATTTGGCGACACTACCTATATGACGAAAAGACCCAAATTTACACGGACCATAAAAGTTTAAAATACTTCTTCACGCAGAAAGAACTAAACATGAGACAACGAAGGTGGTTAAAACTGGTAAAAGACTACGATATAGATATCCAGTACCACCCTTGAAAAGGAAAACGTGGTTGTCGATGCACTAAGTCGAAAAATGGTACACTCGTCGGCTCTCATCACAATTGAGTCACGAGTGCGAGCAGATTTTGAACGAGCTGACATAACAGTGGTAACTAAGGAGGTTATAGCTCAAATAGCTCTACTCATGGTGCAACCCATACTCAGACAAAGGATTATAGATCACAACGAGAGGACCCTAACCTAAATAAAATACTGAAACAAATTAACCGCGAGCCCATAGACAATTTTTCAAAGTCACCAGATGATGTGCTGCTATGTTAAGGATGTTTATGTGTTCCAGCTATGCGCAAAATAAAGAACAAAATATTATCGAGGCACATAACTCACCCTTCTCGATACACCCAGGTTGTACGAAGATGTACCAAGACTTGAAACAACACTTCTATTGACGAAGTATGAAAAAAGATATCGCGGAGTATGTGAGTAAATGTTTAGTGTGCTAACAAGTAAAAGCCGAAAACGAAGGGACTACTACAACCTCTAAGTATACCGGAGTGGAAGTGGGAGAATATCGCTATGAATTTCATAATGGGTTTACCCAAAATGCTGAAAGGCTATATACTGATTTGGGTACTTGTCGACCGACTGACAAAGTTGGCACACTTCCTACCGAGTAAGGCAACATATATAGTAGACAATTGGGCTCAACTGTATGTGAAAGAAACTGTGAGGTTGCATGGAGTCCCCGTATCAATAGTGTCAGACTGAGACCCACGTTTTACATCGGCCTTTTGGTGAGGACTCCAAAAAGCGTTGGGTACCTACCTCGACTTTAGCACTGTCTTCCACCCACAGACTGATGGTCAAATGAAACGGTTGAACTAAATCTTAGAAGACATGCTTTGAGCATGTGTTACGGATTTCACGGGAAGTTGGGACACCAAATTACACCTAATGGAATTCTCGTATAACAACAGTTTCCAAGCAACAATTGGGATGACGCCATTTGAAGCATTATATGAAAAATAGTGTAGATCCCCGTTATGTTGGGACGAAGTAGGAGAATGAGAATTAGTAGGACTCGAGTTAGTCCGCATCACAAACGAGGCTATATAGAAAATTAAAGCATGGATGTGCACCGCACAAAGTAGGCAAAAGAGCTACGTAGACATAAGGCGTAGAAAATTGGAGTTCGAAGGAGGGGATCTGGTGTTCCTAAAGGTAGCTCATATGAAGGGCACCTTAAGGTTTGGACATAAGGGCAAGCTAAGCCCCCGTTTCATCGGACCCTTCGAGATCTTAGAACGAATAGGCCCAATAGCGTACAAGTTAGCCTTACCACCCCCACTCTCGAGCGTATACGATGTTTTTCATGAATCCATGTTGAGGAAGTATGTTACGGACCCTACGCACGTAATAGACTACAAGCCCCTCGACATCAAGAAAGATTTAAGTTACCAAGAAAAATTAATTAAGATCCTAGCTCGGGACGTGAAAGTATTACATAATAGAAGTATAGGTTTTGTCAAAGTACTGTGGCGGAACCACCAAACCGAGGAAGCCACGTGGGAACGAGAGAAAGAAATAAAGGAAAAATACCCCAAATTAATCTAGGAGTTTGAGACTTTCGAGGACAAAAGTTAATTTAGGGGTAGATAGTGTAACGAATCGAAAAAAAATTTGAAACATTTTGGGCAATTTCTTTTCCAGTGTCCGTTTTCATTGCAATGGAAATATTTTTCTTTATCTTCATTTTGAACCTTGCGTTTGCGGTCAGTAGGAATCTTATCTTTCCCCTTACCCTTCTTCTTCATCGAAACATTTTTAGAAGTTGAAGAACCAAACTTATTTTTGGAGGATGATCTTACTAGTAATTTCTTAGAGACCAACATTTTCTTCTCCTGCTTGTCCCTTGTTTATCAGGAGGGACTGATAAGTCTGTAGCTCATTGAGAAGAGTAGTTAAGTTATATTCTATCTTGTTCATCATCGCGTGCAAAACTGTAGGAAACTCTTTGGAAGAGACTCCATGATAAAACTGACTTGACTCTTCTCATCAATGACAACTCCATTTACATCTGTCATATTGAAATGAACCATCATGTCCAAGATATGTCCTCTAACAGAGGTCCCTTCTTTCATACGGCAGTTGTAAACGTATTTTATGGAGTCATGTCTAAGGGAGAAGGACGATTGTCCAAACATCCCTTTCAGAGATTCCATAATCTCTTTAATAGTACCCATAACATCGTGTTTTTTAGCTAAAACATCAGATATGCTAAATAAAATGTACACTCGAGCTTTGTCATTTTCCTTTGTCCATCTGTTATATGCATTTGAATTGTTCGGTTTGCATTTGAGTGGGGATTTAGAGAACATTGCTTAGTTAAAACAAACCTTAAATCATCAATTACAAGTATTGTATTTAGGTTTGATTTCCAAGTTGCGTAATTGTCGCCGTTTAATTTCTCAGAAGCGAGTAATTGTACTATTGAGCTTGACATGATGAAATATAAAACAAATTCTATAAGT